CTCTCTGCTCTCTCAAATATGTATATGTATGTATGCATGTGAGCACAAGCAGCGCTCACAAATTGAAATTTCTTCGCAGCGAGAGCCCATGCCTACCCTTATGTGTGAAGAGTATACCGAACTTTTCAAACCGTTTGCCATGCGTTTTCGTTATTATTTGTGGGAAGGGTATGAAGGCGTTGGTGCGCATAATGAAAATGTTTTCGCGACGAGCATGCACACACACACTGTCCCTTGCTACATGTACTATGTACTGCATGTGAGCACAAGTACGCTAACGAAAATTGAAATTTCTTCGCAGCGAGAACCCATGCCTTCCCTTCTGAGTGAAGAGTATTCCGAACTCTTCAAGCCGTTTGCCATGCGTTTTCGTTATTATTTGTGGGAAGAGTATGAAAGCGTTGGTGCGCATAATGAAAATGTTTTCGCGACGAGCATGCACACACACACTTACAGTATGCTACATGTACTATGAGCATTTGTATGCCTGTGTGCGAAGCTCTTGCTGCCTGTAGCAATTTTAAATCCCAGCATTTGCATTTGGTCGATCTTGTGAAGTGCTCACATACATATGTATGTATGTATGTATATACATTTGATTGTGTGTACGCATGGGAGGCGCTGCTCACAATTTTGGGATATAACTTGTAGAAGCACTTGTATGCCTGTGTGCCTTTACATGTGCGTGTGTGTATGTGTTTGTATGTATGCATGGGAGATGAACATTGGCGTGTGCCTCCCTCAACTTAGAATGGTGTGAACGATTTTGGGCTTTGATTGAAGAGGCGCGCTTATGTTTAAGTACCTGTTTTGATTCAATGATCGTGGGTTTACCTATCAGAATGAATGTTTTTTAAAAATGTGGTACCTGATTAATTCCAATGGGCAAAATGGGATGTGTTTTTTTAACCCTTGCACTTGTGCATACATATGTAGGTCAATTTGACACCTTTTTAAAAAGATGAATACGTAAATACAGGTCAAATTGATAATTTTTACAAAAATTTGGATTAATCAGGTACCACATTTTTAAAAAACATTCATTCTGATAGGTAAACCCACGATAATTGAATCAAAACAGGTACTTAAACATAAGCGCGCCTCTTCAATCAAAGCCCAAAATCGTTCACACCATTCTAAGTTGAGGGAGGCACACGCCAATGTTCATCTCCCATGCATACATACAAACACATACACACACGCACATGTAAAGGCACACAGGCATACAAGTGCTTCTACAAGTTATATCCCAAAATTGTGAGCAGCGCCTCCCATGCGTACACACAATCAAATGTATATACATACATACATACATATGTATGTGAGCACTTCACAAGATCGACCAAATGCAAATGCTGGGATTTAAAATTGCTACAGGCAGCAAGAGCTTCGCACACAGGCATACAAATGCTCATAGTACATGTAGCATACTGTAAGTGTGTGTGTGCATGCTCGTCGCGAAAACATTTTCATTATGCGCACCAACGCTTTCATACTCTTCCCACAAATAATAACGAAAACGCATGGCAAACGGCTTGAAGAGTTCGGAATACTCTTCACTCAGAAGGGAAGGCATGGGTTCTCGCTGCGAAGAAATTTCAATTTTCGTTAGCGTACTTGTGCTCACATGCAGTACATAGTACATGTAGCAAGGGACAGTGTGTGTGTGCATGCTCGTCGCGAAAACATTTTCATTATGCGCACCAACGCCTTCATACCCTTCCCACAAATAATAACGAAAACGCATGGCAAACGGTTTGAAAAGTTCGGTATACTCTTCACACATAAGGGTAGGCATGGGCTCTCGCTGCGAAGAAATTTCAATTTGTGAGCGCTGCTTGTGCTCACATGCATACATACATATACATATTTGAGAGAGCAGAGAGCATCGTGAGAGAGAGAGAGCAAGGGAAACATTCAGCGCAGATGGATCCTTTGTTCAACAGTTGACCATCTCGGTCGAGCGCATGAAGCGAAATGATTGTGCTTTCGTATGTTTTCGTAGCTCGAACCCAAAAAGTGAAGAGCCGAGCAAATACGAAGTGTCTGGGAGATAACTCCCGAAAAAAAGTGTGCAAAACGCTTTACACTACTTGTCCGGTCTATGTGTTCTCTGGTTAGTGACTCTATACTTATGCGCCAAAATACCAAAAGTAATTTTGTTGAAAAGCAGAAAATAAATGATTTATATATTTACTTGGACGTTAATACTAACAATATGTACAATCAATAATATCATTGTCGTTTTCACTTAATGAATTTTTATTATTTCTTATTATTAATTTTTAACACTACTAGATATAAATTGATGACCACTGTTATATATCGATAGTCTATGCGAAAAAAAAATCTGATAGTGATTGGAACTAGTTCGATACTCAACTACTCAACTCAATCAACACGTGCGTTGCTCGGCCATTTTCCTTAACCTGCCGCCACGTGCGGACGTATTCTTGCATCGCACGTATTGTATCAGAAGTATAATTAATTAAAATGACTGACGTTGGTAAGTGACCATAAATAAAAAACACCAATTAAAGTGCTCAAATATGTAATACGTAATTTCAGATTCTCGCAAAAAAAAGAAGAAAATCAAGGAAGAGCCACAAGATGGACAAGACATTGGAACTCTGCAGAAACAGAACCAATTTCAAATAAAACCATCGTCGAAAATAGCCGAGTTGGACACTTCCCAGTGGCCTCTACTGCTCAAAAACTTTGATAAGTTGAACATACGCTCGAATCACTATACTCCGCTAGCACATGGCTCTTCGCCGCTCAATCGTGATATCAAAGAGTACATCAAAACCGGCTTCATTAATCTCGATAAGCCCTCAAATCCCAGTTCGCACGAGGTGGTCGCATGGATTAAGAAAATATTGAAAGTTGAGAAAACCGGGCACTCGGGTACATTGGATCCGAAGGTTACAGGTAAGTTAAATCGTGCCGACTAAAATTGTGATAATGTTGGCTTTTCGATATTTCGTTCCTATCTAACGCGCGATACTTTTTCAATCCAACCTAAAAATCGTTACTGACGCACGTGCCTACGCATATTTTCTAACACAGGCTGCTTGATTGTCTGCATTGACCGCGCCACACGTCTTGTCAAGTCGCAACAAAGTGCCGGCAAAGAGTATGTTGCTATTTTTAAACTTCACGGTCCCGTTGAGTCGGTGGCCAAGGTACGTCAGGGCTTGGAGAAATTGCGTGGTGCGCTTTTCCAGCGCCCGCCCCTCATCTCTGCTGTGAAGCGTCAACTACGTGTGCGCACAGTCTACGACAGCAAATTGCTGGACTACGACGAAACACGTAATATGGGTAAGTCAACAAAATACAGCACTCTTTACTCTCCAAATGCAGCCAGTGCGTCACCGTCTGGCTTAAGACAGAGGCGCACAGTGCTAAAAATGCAATGGAACACAGCATAATTACAGTATTTGCTCTAGCGAATGCACAGTCATATTGGTAACACAGTCTGTTGTTTTTGTCTCTATACTTACGTGTTTAGGTGTTTTTTGGGTTAGCTGCGAAGCCGGTTCCTACATACGTACCATGTGCGTCCATCTGGGTCTAGTTCTTGGCGTAGGTGGCCAGATGTTGGAGCTGCGTCGTGTTCGCTCCGGCATACAGTCCGAGCGGGATGGCATGGTAACCATGCATGACGTACTCGATGCCATGTGGCTCTACGAGAATCACAAGGACGAGTCTATGCTGCGTCGCGTGATCAAGCCACTGGAGGGCTTGCTAATCAACCACAAACGCATCATCATGAAGGACAGTTCGGTATGTTGCACAGTATTATGAGATTTGTAAGCTATACCCCAAGATATTAAGCCGGCAGTCGTTCGTATTTTAACCAGCGGCGACTGTGACTATGACTGGGAACAGAAATGCCGCTGATGTGTGTATGTTGGTGTTGCGCCCACCATGCGTATCTGACAAAGTAATTTTCAGACGACATATTCTATATATATTAAAACTAGCAAATATATAGTTCGTACATAATTATTTTTAATTTCCATCAGGTCAATGCTGTTTGCTACGGTGCCAAAATTATGTTGCCTGGCGTCCTGCGCTATGAGGATGGCATTGAAATAGAACAGGAGATCGTCATCTGCACCACAAAGGGCGAGGCAATTTGCCTCGCCATTGCAATGATGACCACAGCAACTATGTCCTCGTGCGATCATGGCGTCGTTGCAAAGATCAAGCGTGTGATCATGGAGCGTGACACATATCCGCGCAAGTGGGGACTGGGACCTAAGGCTTCGGCCAAGAAGGCGCTCATTGCTGCTGGCAAACTGGATAAGTTTGGCAGACCCAATGAAAACACACCAAAAGAATGGCTAACAGGCTTTGTGGACTACAATGCCAAGAAGCCAGCCGCAGCTGTCGCCCCGCAAGCTGCAACGCCTTCAAATGGCTCCAATGAGATCAGCAAGGTTTGCAGAAATGCATGAATTATATATAATCGAATTTGAATCTAAAAAAGAATTTCCGTATGCAGCGCAAACATAGCACATCTAGTGCAGAGGAAGGGGCAGTTGACGCCACACCCGCAACTACAGAAAAGAAGAAGAAGAAAAAGAAGCATAAGGGAGAAGAAGAGGCGCCGGCTGCGGAAGAGTCCACTGCTGAAGTACCTGTTGAGAAGGAGAAGAAGAAAAAGAAGAAGAAAGATAAGGATAGAGACAGAGAAGATCAGGAATAGGATACAATAATTTCTATTAATCTAGGCATTAGGCATTAATCCTCTACAATTTCGAGAGCATTTTCATAGCTTTTAAGGTTAAAGTTTTAGACCGCCTCTTGCTCATGTGAGCTGTACAAATGCAAATTTTCAAGCATTTATAAGTGACATTCGCAATGCAATAAATTGTATTTTATTGTAAATCTTTATGAATATATAATTTTATTCTGTTCACTTTTTAGATTTTTAGGTAGAAAGTGCATTAGCTTTAAACTTAAAAGGTGAGTTTTGAATGATGATTGCAAATTTATAAAAAATGTTCAAATGCTTTGCCCCTATCTGAAAAATAAGAGAAACTTCTCATGTTGAATGCGAGATCGGTCTTACTGAATTGAAAAGAAAAACATTTGGGGAATGGCTTTATAAAATGATAAAAATATTTCAATCTTATTAATCAGCTTAGTAACATTTTTTTGTATATATATTTTGCAGAACTTAATCCGAAAGATTGTCTTGCTAAGCAAACGAGTCTAAGAAACTCCTAAAATGAAAAGGTAAATGCAATTATGATTAAAATTTAACAAATAATCTTGAGATATTGATGAGCTTCAAGCTTTCGCCCCTATCTGAAAACTAAGAGAAACTTCCAATGTTGAATGCGTGATTGGTCTTACTGAAATGAAACTAACAAAATCCTAAAATATTTATATTATATTTGTGCCTAACGAGCATTTATTATATTTTGCAGAGAATTCTTTGGGAATATTCTTCACGAGATTTATTATATTCATAAGGTAAGCAATATGTCAAGGGAATATTGAACAATACTTAGCTTTAATCTTTGCATGATGAGCTTCAAGCTTTCGCCCCTATCTGAAAATTAAGAGAAACTTCCAATGTTGAATGCGTGATTGGTCTTACTGAAACGCACATTTCTTAAATCAATATACATAGTTTAATTGTGAATCCAATTTTAATCAAAATTTCAATTCATTTTATTACAGGTGTTCTACGGCTGTTGTAAATACACAAAATATTGGTGACGTGCTTATTAAAGGTTAGTATCCATTAAAGTTGGCATAATTTAAATTGATCCTTCAATGATGAGCTTCAAGCTTTCGCCCCTATCTGAAAACTAAGAGAAACTTCCAATGTTGAATGCGTGATTGGTCTTACTGAAACGCACATTTCTTAAATCAATATACAAAGTTTAATTGTGAATCCAATTTTAATCAAAATTTCAATTCATTTTTTTATAGGTGTTCTACGGCTGTTGTAAATACACAAAATATTGGTGATGTGCTTATTAAAGGTTAGTATCCATTAAAGTTCGCATAATTTAAATTGATCCTTCAATGATGAGCTTCAAGCTTTCGCCCCTATCTGAAAACTAAGAGAAACTTCCAATGTTGAATGCGTGATTGGTCTTACTGAAATGAAACTAACAAAATCTTAAAATATTTATATTATATATGTGCCTAACGAGCATTTATTATATTTTGCAGATAATTCTTTGGGAATATTCTTCACGAGATTTATTATATTCATAAGGTAAGCAATATGTCAAGGGAATATTGAATAATACTTAGCTTTAATCTTTGCATGATGAGCTTCAAGCTTTCGCCCCTATCTGAAAACTAAGAGAAACTTCCAATGTTGAATGCGTGATTGGTCTTACTGAAATTAAACTAAACTGAATATCTTAAAATTTAACATATATTTGTGCTTAACGAGCCTTTCATTATATTTTGCAGTCATATCTTGGAAAGTATTTTTCGAATCAATTATATGATAAGGTAAGCATTTAATATAAATGTATCAATGGAAACATTTAATAATATTTATATTTGATTTCTACATGATGAGCTTCAAGCTTTCGCCCCTATCTGAAAATAAAGAGAAACTTCCAATGTTGAATGCGTGATTGGTCTTACTGAAAATAATTTTTAAATAATATATCAAAACCCATTTATAAAACTAAGCTAATAAACTGTGAATTTACATTGCAGGCTTACTACGGAGCTAATCTTCGAAACGCTTTGACTTGTAAAGGTAAAAATCTTTTGTATTTAAAGTAGCTTAGAGTTTGTTTGTATACTGATGAGAACGGAAATCTGAATTTGTTATGATTCACAAATACCGCAACAACCCAATCCTCAAAAATAGGTCCTACTGAACTAAAACTCTAATTAGGTATTTTAAAAATGTAATGCAATTATTTTACTATTATATATTTCCTTTAATTTTCAGAATTTTGATGGATCCCTCGCATTTGCGGTAATTACAAGGTGGGTCTATTCACAATGCTGACTTCATAAAGCATATACCTTTAAAATGATGAAAAAGGAAATATGAACATGTGATATGATACACAAATACCGCAACAACACAATCCTCAAAAATAGGTCCTACTGAACTGTATTTTCAAATTGAATTATCTAAATCAATCAACTTTGAATTAACTGTTTAATTTTTTCTGTTCATTTACAGGTACAGTACGTGACGCTTTGTGTTACCTAATTTTCTTGTATTAATATTCATAAAATAAAAGTAAACGTTACAATTATAAATAAAGTCTTTTAGTGGCGCACACTTCGTGACAACGCCTAACCTTAAATCATTTAAATAAAACGGAATCTGCAGGGTTGCCACCGTCGCCTATCAAACGATAATGTGTTGAGGTTTGCTGACGTGGAATCACCTTGAGCAAGCTCGTTATGAGTAGTTAGGTAGAGTGCTTTAATTATATAAGTCAACACTAAACATGTATTTTATACTCTGACGCTTGAATCAAATGGAAAGATACAGGAGTGCTCACGGAATTCAGATAAACTGAAACATTTAGAGTCGGTTAGTAATTAGTTTTGTGGCTCTCAACAGCTTTTATGCAGCTTCGAATATCACTTGTGTTCAAGTTTTTGGCGCTCAGCAACCCTGCGTTTCATTCCACGTAGCTGCCTGTTTTGCTCTGTTATCGGTCTCCATATTGAAATTCATCATGCAGTCGTCGATATATGTATGCGAAATGTGTATGTATACATATATGTATTAGTTCGTATGTGGTGCGCTTTTAAGTACGTCAGCAGCGAGTGGCGCAAGTAATTGCGCGTTTAGGTGAAAAAAGTTTGAGATATCAGAGTGCCCCTTTGAATTCGGACAGAAGGAAGTATAGTAGTGCTCGGTGTGTGCACAGGTCTGTGCAGGTAAGTGTCTTACTTTCTATTTCGATATCAGTTTTACTTGGCAGGACCCTTTCGGCTAGTCTACATTTTCTCTTCGGACTTTTACCGTTCATTTGTATGTGTGACAAAGAGTTGTCGGTGGTTTAAATTCTTACGCATCCGATCGGCAAAACCGTATACGTGAATTCGTACGGCCGCGACGCCATCTTGGATTTTATTTTGAGGTTATCGATTTATTTAATACGCATTACGGAATGTAGTTTTTTGTTTGCAAGCTAAGCAATCTTGTGTCCTTTGAGGAATATAATAGCAATAATCAAATTGAAAATTTCACTAACAAAATTTTAATAACAGTAGACATTTAAAGTTATAAATTCTATTAAAAAGTAGAAAAGATCGCAATTCTTAAATTTATTCTATTGTGTAGAGTTAATAAATTATAGGTGATTCTGAAACTAATGCGTTAAGTAATAATTCGTAAGGTAATAATAATATTAATTAATATCTGTTGGTTTTAAATTTGATATCTCTTGCTTCGCTTTTTCCTCTTTAACCAAAATAAAACGGTTATCGGCGACCACGTGCGTACGCACACAGCTTTACATATGTACATTGCAGAAATACACTTACGATATGTACGTACATACATACATAGGTACATCTGCACGTGTATGACATAAGAATACTACTGTTGTGCCATTCCATTGCATTTCGTTGGAACGACTGAAAACGGGTCCACACACAGACACTGGCCTACGCTCACACACAGCTACACTGACTCATACACATACACAGAAGCCAGTCGTCGCAGGGCCCGTGCAGAGGCAGAGCTGTTTGTGATCGTAAAATTTATACACGCGTTCTTCTTGAATTGGAATCAAAGTTTAATTAATTGAAAATGTCATTTCATTGTGCACATGCGTAATGTCAACGAAAATTCGACTATGTTGGCATTAGCTGAAACCCGGAATTAGTGCAACAGCAAAGTGAGAAAATGTTGTAGCTGCCTCTGCCTCTGCTGTTGCTTTGTTGTGTTGTGGGTGTGTGTGTGTGCTTATGCGAGCGGAATCTGTTGTGTGCGAGGCTTATTCAAAGGCGTTCAGATAACTAGGCCAATTCCTGTGACCGTTCTGTGCGGCATTTGCCGTTTAATTTGTGTGGCTTAAATGAGGTGTGTATTCCCTTTTGCGAATGTGCAAATGACATGTGGACATGTCATATGTTTTTGTGAGGCTCGATAACTTGATATTCTATAAGATATGTATGTATTGAACAGATTAAAGTTGCGGAGCAATTCCTTTTTGATGTCTGGGCATATGAAATTAAATTGATAATAGTGTTGTGTATAGCTGATGACTTTTAATTACATTTTCGTGCGTCAGGTGATTCCTGTGTGTATCTGTAAGCGCACCAGTGCTGCCTGTTTCGATTACCGAAAAAGTGCTGCCCAGCTTTTAATGAAAGTGCCGTCGTCGGGTTATCACAAATATATGCGCCGATATATCTTGACGTACTCAGTCCACATTTTATACAGTAGTTGAATTTATTTAAGGAGATACTAGGGGGCCCCTACCCTAGTAAAGCTTTTATTAATAACAATTCATTGAATGGATTACGTTTTCGTATTATAATAGACGCGGCGATAGGGAAAATCGTATCTTTAAATAATGTACAAAATATGTCGAATGAAGGCTTATAATTATTTATTTATTTTTAGGATGATACAGGAACTGCCGCGTATTGTCCTCAAAGGCAACGATTTGAGAAAATTTCTCTATCTGAAACACAAATATCCAGTTTCGCAGGAGTTTCTGCACAGCAACTGGCCTAATGCAAAGCGATTCATTATCTACGCTCTAAATCCGCGCTGCGTGCTCCGCACTTACGCATGGCGCAAGCGCAATCACAGGGTCGTGATCATACGCCGGGTCCGTCTGCTTCTCTTCGACCCACGACTGAAGCGCATGATCAAACGACGAAAAGCTAATTTCAAGCAATGGTCGTCGAACATGGTACGATATTACAAGAAAATGGGGCATGTGAAGGAGTACGAGGAGACGGAGCTGTATGGCGAGGAGCTGTCCAAGCAAATGAAGCAGCAATTGGAGCTGCTGAAGAGCGGCAAACGTGGTCTATCACTGATCGAAGATGCGAATAAAAACGTTGAGCTCCGCCAAGAGCAGCCAGAGGACAATATGCAGGAGGACATAGAGAAAGAGAGGGCGGAGCCAAGTCATCAGCAGGCAGAAGAGGATAAGCTGGAAGAGCAACATATAGAAGATGAGTCAGCAAAATTATTAGCAATAATCGAAGGGACATTAAAAAGATCTGAAATATCTAAAGAAAAGCCAGCTCGCCGACCTACAGCTGAAAATGAGTTGCTGGAGCCAGCTGCTGTGTCGCCCACAAGCAAAGCCGACAAGCGGCTTGAACCTTCCACAGAAAAGGCGTCGGACAGCAAATTTTTGGACATGCTAATGAATAAAGTGCGTGTGAAGACCTTTGCCAAAGAGTTGAATTTCTCCAGCTCCGATAATGAACTGCATGGTCCAAGCGATAAGCCCGCCGATGAGGGAACAGCCGACTTTAGATTTAACGACGAGGCGAGTGAAGACTTCGTCGAATTCGATGACAGCGCTCATCAGCCGGGCATGCTGCTCACTCCACTGGTGCCACAGAGCTGCAAAACGGTCGATGGCAACGGGGCCTTCGTCAGCGATGCGCTGGAAGCGTATATGAAGAAGAATAATCTGCGCGATACTCGCTCGGCAGATCGTGAGCTGCTCGAGCCCATGTACCAGGATGGGCGTGTCACGGCGCACAGTGTGCCGCCGCATATGGATATGCCGGCGGTGCCGGACAGCTTACAGAAGCTGCGCACTGTTGCCGAACGCCGCCACTATCTGCAGCGCTCCAAGAACCAAAAAATGGCCATCATCAATAACGAGGCGAACATCTACCGCGAGTTGCAGCGCAAGCAGCGCCAGCGAAAGGTGAAAATCGCCGCCATGCAGCAGCTGCAGTCGCCCATCACTCAAATGCCCTTCACCCGGCAGGGCTGGCAGGCGGCCAGCTACGTGTCCACGGAGACGGATAAGTATTACTACCAGGTCATCCGCATTGATGGCGAGATGGTGCGTCTGCCTGGCAGCCAGGGAAACAATGCGCGCCGCGAAAAGCAGCCGCATCGCAACGCGCTCACTGCGCAGGAGTTGGCCACGCTGCAGTGTAGCAGCCGGTGCGTGGACGCGGCTCTGCGCAATGAGCTGAAAGTGATCCCCACGCGCCAGTGTCAGCTGAAAGGCAAACTGCAGAAGCTCAATCAGTATCCATTGCCAGCCGTATTCAGGCCCTGCCCGCTCTCACAGAAGCCATATCAGAAGCCGCTAGACGACGACACGGCCGCCCTCTTGCTAGCCGGCGGGAGCATGGCCGTGGTCAGCATGCCCACCGTGCATCTGGACGTGAAGCCGCAGCTGGGTCGACCATTGAATGAGATCGCCAAGCGGTATTTGCAGTACATTCTGCCGCACCATGACATCACGCGCGAGTGGGCCGAGTTCAGCGTGTCCACACTGCAGGAATCGCCCAACAGCATGCGGGAGGCAGAGGCACAGGCCGCCGTCCAGTCCACAAATGTCGGCAGGCGCAAGAGCTTTACATTTGTGATTCCCTATATGAACGATCGCAATCACATTCTAGTGCGCCGCGTTGTCGATCGCTCCGAGAAGCTGGACGAGAGCTTTAGTGCTTCTCAACCGCCGGAGAAGCTGCGCGACTTAGAGTTTCGCAAACTGCTGCCCGAAAATGCAGATGCGATTGCGTTGGACTGTGCGGACATGGTCAATGATATGATCAACACCGTAGCCATCAGCTGCAGCGAGAACTCGTTCATCAGCGTTGATGTCGATGCGGTACGTGGCCTCCCTCTGGATGTAAGCCCCATTAAGGAGGAGTCTGCTGGTGCCGCCAATTCGGATGCGGCTGAAGGCGACGCCCACACCAAGACGGGGCTTAAATCCTCCCAAGTCACCAGCAAGCCACGCCCCAACAAACAGCAGCGCTTAGCCAAAGAGCTGCGCCGCCTCAATGCCACCATAATCGATGCGGCCGCCATAGCCAAGGATGGTAAGTCTATGCTCTGAACCATTGCTAAGATGGTAGTAGATCTTTAGATACGTCACACTTCTTAATTCTACTTAATGTGATTCGCACATATTATCTACATATGTAAATATGTATATTAATATTCTGTCAGCCTCTCGAGGCTTGAAATAGTTATTTTTAATCAGCAATTGATTGATGAATGATAAATATTCGAATAGTGTAAATATACTATTCCCGATCGCATTGCAAGTAGTATCGATAACCAAGATGGTCTTATCGATATTGTTGCAAGGGACAATTAGGCGTTCTTCAAGTGACAAACATACACACATATATCCATATGTACATACATACATACATACATATATCATAAGTAACCAGCAGCACTCTGGTCAATGCCAGCAGTCAGTGATTGGAGAATTTAAATTTTTTGACTAAAATAATTGCCTATAAATTTAAATTCGAATACGAAAAAGGATTATTATAGGACACATTCTGCTCATTAAAATAAATTCATTATTCATTAGCTTTATGAACAGCATATAGAAACATCAGCTAAAATCGATTGCCTTTATCGATAACTGTAATTTACATTTAATGCAAATTCCCCTTTGTAGCAAATAAACCGTGCAGCAAGGATTACTGTCAACTGGGCTGTGTCTGCGAGAGCGTGGGTGGGGATCTGGCCCCTCGGGAGCATTGCGGGCGTGCGGACTGCGTGTTGGAATGCAGCTGCACGGGCGCCGAGCTAACGCGCATTATGCGCGTGGAGACTGACGTGAGTATTAAAAGTATTTGGACATCCGTTTCGTGTAACCAACTGTCGCTCATCTGCAGGGACGCGGTCTCTCGAACGAAGATGCTTTCAACTTGCGTCGCAAGGCAACGGCGCGTCTGGCCAAAATGGAAAAGGACTTCACCTCGACGCTGGTCCTGACCGACAACGAGACGCTGCTCATCAACGAGACGCAGTGTGACAAGAAGCGTCGATGCACTAAGGCGCCCAAGCGCTACGAGGACTTCGACGACTCCATCGAGGATGATGAGGGGTCACTGCGTCCCAGCAAGTTTGCAAAGCGCGATATTAATCTGAAATGCACGCGCGGAAGCACCGAGAGCGTTCCCATGTCGCTTAGTGAGCCGTGCTCAATAAAGGACACGGACTTTGAGCAGCTGAAGCATTGTCAGGTTGCGCTGCGCCGCCTGCCCGATGTCGCCAACTTGGCTACCTTCTGCATGACCCATCAGCTATACAAATGTTTCTGCGGCGGACTGGCGGTCGACGGCAAGCCGGTTGTAATAGAGAAGGAGAAAGACGACCTGCCCATACCTCATTATGTTCCCGAACTGGCGACTCGCGCTCACTACAGCTTCGAGCGGCCGCCCGATGAGTCAAATAAGAAACGGCGCAAAGAGAAGGCAAAGACCCAACCTCAGAAGCTGCCACCGCTTGTGCTGAAGTTGCCACAGTCGCAAAAGCAGACGTCGCCGGTACTAAAGCAGCCACAGCTACAGAAGGAGCAGCAGCAGCCACTGCCACAAAAGCAGCCAAATCAGCAACAGCAGCCCCTGCCACAGAAGCAACAGCAGCAGTCACAGAAGCAGAAACATCAGCAGCCACTGCCACAGAAACAGGTGATGCCACAGAAGCAGCAGCAGACACCACCATCTAAACAAGCATCGCCGCCAAAACAACAGCAAACAGCAAAGCAAATAACGCCCCAGAAGCAACTGGGCAAGGACGGTGCTACCATTAGGCTGCAGCCAGTTAAACTGCTACCCAAGCCAGCGCCTGTTTTGAAAGTGGAAGTGCCACCTGTGCCAGCCGTGGTAGTGGTGCCTCAACGTCCCGCCGAGCTAGATATCATCTTCAGCTACTATCGCTCGCGGCCCAATTTGTGTCGCCGTGTGGTATCCGTGCCCAGGAACTGCTATTTGCGTTTGAACAGACGCCGTGCGGATCGCATTCGCGTGGAGGCAACACGAGCTGAGACTCCGAAAGCACAGGCGCTGCTTGATCAGCGTGTGGCCAGCGCCGTTAGCTACTATCGCTCTGAGCTTGAGCAACAGCGCCGCTTGGCGAAATCGGCTCAGACTGCAGAGCTAACAGTAATTGAGGTGGCCGATGATTCGGATCAGAGTGAAGCGGAGTCTATGGCAAGCAAACGCAGCGCCAAGGAGGAAGCGAACGTGGAAGAACCGGAGGTCAAGCGAAGGAAGCTACAAGCAGAGGAAACAGGGCCAGCAGAACAAACAGCCAAGCAGACAGAGCCGCAGGAAGTACAGCCCGCACCCAAGCTGGACATTCAAATGCCCAAGATATCAGCTTGCTATTCGCTGAATGCCAACGCCTTAGATGTTGCCGTGGGCAGCAATGAGATGCCCATGGCTATGGCTATCAATGAAGACAGTCCGAGTGTGGACTCTGTCTCGTTCCGTGCTTCTTACAACGAAGTCATCAAGAAGATGAACACCCATGTGAGCAAGAAAATGCAGGACATCGATCTGGCGCTGCAGCGCGAGAGCAAAATAATCCCAGCTCCGAACGAGGAGATATTGTGCATCATCAAGTGGGCCAACTTCCTGGCCGCCTTCCAGTCCAACTATGTGTTCATCTGGGATGTGCAAATGAAGAACCACAGCTTCCTGGCGGCTACGATAACAAACATGATGCCAGCCATCTGTGGCGCCATTGCCGTGGTCAACACGCACTTCGCTCCCGACCGCAACAGCTTGCCCCTGATGGCGCGCATGCTGCTCGAGGGCAAACGAAACGATAACACGAGTCGCCTGGCTGTGGTGATGCAGGGCAGGCAGCAGTACTGGCTGGTAAAGGGCTTCCTGCGCTACATGGAGGGCAACGCGTGCACCAAGCCAACGCCGCAGACACATCCCGTACTGACAAAGAAGATAAATGTCCTCTGCACTCTGATGGTGAAGCAGCGCATTAGGGAGCAGCAACGTCATCAGCGGCCAGCAGCGACTGCTCTAGGGGCGGCGGCGAGTGTTGTTAGCACTAAAGCAGCACCGCTTGTAGCAGCCAGCTCCAAGTCTGTAACTGCAGCTCCAGCTCCTGCTCCGCCTCCAGTTGCACCTGCACAGAGCGCGCCGTCTGCTGCTGCATCCACATCCCGCTCAGTATTAGGTTCCCCTGCAGTTGTTGCGCCTACCCCCGTCCCTACATCCGCATGGGGGGGCAAGGCATCTGCCGACAGCAAGGAACCCTCACTTATTTGCAGCAACATCGAGTTCCGTAAAGTCATGCAAGCGGATATTCCAGACCTGCAGATTCCGGAGCCACACACGCACGATCATCGCTGGCTAGTGCTTAATTTGTATGATGACTTCTCGCATATCTTTGTGCCTGCCTTCAAGGACATGATCTCATTGGATCGCATACACAATGTGGCCCGCGTCGCACATGACACCAATAAGATGGTGAAGCTGCAGTTCTTCCAGGACGCCCCCTATGATGCCTTCATAACGCCGTCTTCGAAGCGGGTCATCTACTTCGGACCGCTGCCCCTGGACACGCCGCCTCCTGTGCTAGTGCTGCTGCAAAGTGTGGATGGCAAGATGATGCTGCGCGAGGTCTACCAGCGGAATCACAACATTCCGGTGCAACGTGAAAAGCGTACCATGGCCTTCTGGCTGCTTCAGATCAATGGCCAAGTGCACTTCAATATTGATTTGCCAGCTGGGGTGGAGTCCTCGCCAGCGTTGAACACGTTGGAGCAGGCAGCTGTAGGTGCAGAGGCAGCAGATACTGATGATGATGATGATTGCGTGATCGTCATCAACGACGATGACGAGGATAAACCAGTGGACGAGGTGGCGCAGCCAAATGCGACGGCACAGGAGGCGCCCACATCCGCACCGCTCATCAACTTCACTATTCAGGCGTTGCCCCACGGCGACGGCGGCAGCGGCAGCAGCGGCAGCAGCAGCCTGCACATAACAGCAGCTGTTCCCCAAACAGGGGCCATGGTCAAGGAAATCAATAGCAATCTTCTAGCCGGCGCGTTCATGCCCTTCATTTCGAACGTGCCCGCGGTGTGCGGCACAGTGCCAGTTACACAATTCCTAACACCACAGGTGCAGCTCACCCAGACGTCGGCGCCGTCGCCATCAGCCGTGGCCAGCAGCGAGCTTAATGCACAGCCGCCGCCAGCCAAAATAAACCGCATCTCAGTGCAGCGGTGTACCCCGACAGCGGCAACCAGTGCAGCAAGTGCCGGCAAGGATCCGATGGCACCCAAGGTCAATAACACGCTGCAGCAGCTGTTGAGCAACAACACCAATGGCAACATTAAAATGGGCAACTCCACAGCCGGCTTAACAATCACCAAGATGAGGACCAAGGATAAAGCCGCTCCACTGCCTGCCGCCGAGCCCATCAAAATTGGCGCCAAACGCAAGATCCAAGAACTGCCAGCGGGTGCGGCAGCTTCCTCTGGAATGCCCAAGCAGACATATGCCAGCAGCAATTTGCCGCATCTGACGCGTGCTCCACAACCGAAGTCGGCGGTCAAGACAACTCAGTCCACAGGGCTTAAGACTTTGGCACCGAAGCCACCCAGTGCTGTGGAGCCACAGAAGCACTTGCTGAATGCCAAAGAGAAGAATGGATTTCTGGTGGCCAAGAACTTGCCTCGTTTCAGAGCCAAGCTAGTGGACAGCAAGCTTATGGTCAAGCTGCCAGATGAGGGCCTCTACTCGTTCAAAACTGGCCACGCCGCCAGCGACTATCTCAACCGGTAGCTATTCCGACGCATAGACTCTTGTCGACTATTGTAGCTAATATTGTGTTTCATTTTTCAATTGCAGATATTTGTCCCGTGAATTGAGCCTGAAGGGTTCTTTGCCAGGCGATTGGAAGTTTTTGCCATTTGAAAATAAAAGTCACAATCAAAAAGACCCGCTTGCAGCTCCCATTGTCATCGAAGATTGAAAGGGTGGCCAGGAAAGTCACTTCTAAAAAAAAAAAGAAAAAAAGAATATTGTAGAAAAATACCCGCGCAGCAGATAGAATAAGAATAACTCATATTTAATGAATATATAATTAAGTTGTTAATGTATCCTTAATTCTGAATTGAAGGAAACTTATTTTTTATTCAGTTAACAAACAAAAGAACCATCGAGCTAGAAAGAAGGAGAGAGGAGAGCACAAAAATAAACAAGTTATAAAACCTCATGCCCACTTTTTCGTTTTACTCGGCCTCACGTTTTGTTCCAGTTCCATTTCGTTCTGGCGGAACAGGAACAGCTGTTCACGGCGTTCTGTTTGTGTTGTGCGGTTGATAGCCTGTGTTGTGGGTGCGCAGTGCGCAGTCAGGGAATGCAAATCGAAAAGTAAATACGCGTATGCTTGTGCGGCATTTAGTGTCAGCAAATATATAAGTGCAAAATCAAAAAAGCTTCCCCGAAAGCCTGATAAACCGTCAAGAACCAAAGAAACACAAATTCGCAACAACTACCAATCAAGGCCAGCTAAGAATGCGCGAATCTCTTTGCATACGTACATATGTATGTATATAAACACATGCATACATACGTACATACGTGATAGTGATGAACTATTCAGTAGTTCCATGCTAATAAATAATTTTGGATGTATGAACTGAATTTCGTGCTAATTATATTCGTATTCTGTGAATGATGTTTCTTAAAAGCGGATTCGTGAAATACACAGGGGACATTGTTAAACACAAAGTAATTCCGACTGCTTAAATGCATAGGGATTTTGAGAACAAATTCAATCAAATGTAACAGAAATAGTTGAAACCAAACCAAATAAGATCGTATTTGTAATATTGTGTTTCGGCCTAAAGATACATAATCGCTCACCTCTAAGTACAAACTCACAGACACCTGCACCCTTGTAAATATACATATACCTATACATATATACATATGTATGAGAATACCAGTAAACAATTTTCCCCGACACACGCGAACTTTTGCCAACGACAGCACATCGAGTAATACCATTCTTATATTTTCTTTTCAGTCATTGAGCGTTATTCGGGCCTAGCACACGTCGAACAGATCGGAGGAAGAGCATTAGGCACCACACGAATAGTAAAATGGGTGTCACCGAATCGAACGAATCGCAGGAGGATCGCGTGGGCTATGTGCGCATTCAGGATATTCCACAGTTGAATCAGGAACATTGTCGAATGCGCGATCCGCAGCGTGTGGAACGGATTATCAACGAGTTTGTCTGCGGGGGACCGGAACGAATGCAGATAGTATCCGACTTTGATTACACGATCACGAAGCAGCGCACGGATGACGGCGTTGCTGTGCCCTCGAGCTTTGGCATCTTCAACTCGTGCAAGTCCCTGCCGGACAACTTCAAAGAGGAGATAGACAAGCTCTTTCACAAGTACCATCCCATCGAGATTGATCCGCATATGCCGATACCCGACAAGGTGCAGTACATGATTGAGTGGTGGACGCAGTCGGGCAAACTGGCCAGTGGCTTCGCCTTCGATCTGGCCGAATTGGATCAAATGGCTGGCCAATTTAAGCATGCGCTACGTGACGGAACGCATGAGCTTTTCGAAGCACTGCAGCGTCTGCAAATTCCGGTTCTCGTCTTCTCCGCCGGCCTGGGCAACTCGGTGGTGTCGCTGATGCAGCAGGCGAACATCATGCAGCCGAATGTAAAGGTCGTTTCGAACTTTCTGCGCTTTCGGGATGGCCTACTGGACGGCTTTCAGGAGCCGATGATTCACATTTTCAACAAGAACGAAACTGTGCTCGAGGGCGGTGAATATTACGAGTTGGTACATACGCGTGATCATATTATTGTCATGGGGGATTCCCTGGGCGACGCGGACATGGCGGCCGGCGTGCCAGCGTCCTCGCACATTCTAAGGATTGGCTTCCTCTTCCACCACGTAGAGGCCAACATGGAGAAGTACATGAACGCCTTCGACATTGTGCTCGTCGACGATCAAACCATGAGTGTGCCTCAAGCTCTGCTCGCGCTCATCGACAACCGTCATCAAATGCGTCACCCACACGCAAGCAATGGAACAGCTTCTATACAAGCTTTGCCGAATGCTGCACTGTGAAATGGATATTCGATTGCTTTCCTATGGGTAATTTGGATTTGACGGTTATTAGTGAGAATACAGAACAGAATCAGAAGCTACTAATTAGACAGTTTAGGCTTAAAAGGTCCCTCATCCGATTCGAAAAAAATTGTAACATGTAAAAATAAAATTGATATTTTATTATCAGTTTTTCAGAGTTTGGTAATTGCTCTCTATATGTATGTACGTGGATTTACATACAAATAGACTAATTCATTTGTATCTAAAACTCATTCCAATTTTATTATCAGGCTCTCTAAAATTCAGTTAAGTCTTTATAACTTATGGATGCATATATAGTATATATTTGCACACATTTGATTTTGTTTATTTAAGCTAAAATTAGCGTCTTACCTAGTAATTTTACAAAAATTGTACTTGAGTAGACATGGAAATAAATACCAGACTATACCGATTCGCATATTTCGCTGTTTACATCAATTCTGGAGGCCGGTGAGTGTATACAGAGGTCGCTATGCCAGGAAAAATGATTTTGATATACATATTTACTTTTCTGGTTGACGCGAACTTCCGATGTTTTTATCAGTTGCAACTTGCAAGTTCCCAGCTGTTGTATTTACGTTTCATCAGCTGATCTTCTGTTACGGCAGCTACTCGAATATATCATATTTACTTATGGGGATATAAAATCAATGAGACGGGGTAGAAATAAAAATAAACTATGGAATGTGAGACGCTTATTTATCAAAATATTTGTATACAAATAATATACATATATATTATTGTTTTGGCACATATTCAATATTTTGATGATGGAACATAAATATTTTGGAACATATGTAAACGCTTACGACAAAAATATATAAACAAATTACATTATTTTACATTATACTACAAGTTTTCTTTTAAATTCATACTTTTTTTTTTTTTTAAATATATGTGCTGAATGATCAACTATATATAAAGGTTGCTTGATATTTCTTTCATAACACTATTATAAAAAGAAACAAAAATAGAATAAACATTTTAAACGAGTATTAGTTACATGAAATTCAGAGGAATTTTTCTAACGTTCGCAATGATATTCAACTGTTCCCTTGATGGTTAATAACACTGTAAAGTCGCATAGTGTTGGACAGCGACGAACAGCTGTCAATTTTTGTCATTAATTAGCGCTTTTGCGCACCACAGAAAAAATATACAAATCATTCGTTTTAGCAAGTTTTTTTTTACGCATCCAGAAAATTAAACGTAGTCAAGTGAAAAGTGTGTTTTGGGTTGGAGTTGAATCAGCGAATAATCGTGGCATCGCCGCTGTCCTTTGCATTTTGGTATTTTTAATAGTGCAAAGACGTCGGCCAATCAAGAAACAAAAATTATGTGCTGAGTGGGGGAGTGCGATTGATCAGCTGGGAGAAAATTAAGCAGCAGCAACAACAACATTCGCAGCAGAACAATTGCAGTGTCATGTTTGGGTTCGACGGTGAGTATCGGCGCCGACCAGTGCAAAGTCTTGGAGGCGCCTCGCAGACCTGCGACCGAGACACGGCGATACGGAAGGCGGCGCTCGAGCGACAGAAGCGCAATGAGCTGCGACAGAAGACTCACGGTGCAGTCGTTCTGCAGTCGTATGCACGCTCCTTCATCCATCGCCAGCGACGCAAGCGAGCCGAAAGGGAGGCGTTTGATGCGTATTTACAGGCGCACCGGGATCGCGTTACGGAGGATGTGAGCCTCTGCTTCCTGTTACGTCGCCTCAATTTTTTCTACAGCAATCGTGTGACCAAGGACAGCGACAGACTGGTGAGCTCCTTTTAGCAAATAGCTATATCAATACTCATTTGATTGCCTTTCCAGATTGAAGTTTGTCAACAGATTTTGCGAAATCCAACACGTCTGCTCCAGCATTCAGCGCAAGATTCCGTTTGGTTGCTGCGGGTGTGCAAGGTCTTGGACGCGTGCCTGTTGCAGTTGGCGCTTCCGCACAAGGCGCAGGCTATTCCGCTACGCATGCTGGAGACTTTCACTACAGTGGCAGCCGTGGAACGCTATGTGGAGGATGAGACAGTGCTGTACAAGTATCTGGAGTGTGTCTTTGGCTTCCTTATCAAACGCAACTATTTCGTGCGCTTGCGCCAGCTGCTAGATGAGAAATGCCCGCCGCTGGACGGCGAGACACTGCACGCTCCCACTCCGTTTGTTGATGCGCTGATGCAGCTGATGTTGCGGCCCTTAAGCGTGGCGCTGCGTCAGCCCTGCAGCGAGTTGTCGCAGCTCTTTTGCCGCAAATTCATTTCTGATATTTTAGCCACACCTCACACAGAACCAGTGCGCAACTTCGTGCTGCCCTGCTTGGCGGAGAGCAAAGACTTTCCTTATGCGCTGCTCATGCACACGCTGCATGCACTACTGGATCTCACCGAGGCGGCGTCCGTTGCTGAAGCCACGACTACGACCACGACTACAGCCACACCCACAACCACAGCCACAGCGACAGATAATGTTAGCACTAATAATGTGTTTTATGGGATTGTGCATGGGGAAGCAAAGTCGTCAAAGCCGCAGACAACTGATGCACTGTTCAGCTCGTACTTGCTAAACTCGCTCTTGGTGCTGGATCGCAGCCACCTAGGTGCGTATACAAATATTCGCTCATGGAAATATATTTAATGTGTTGACTAATCTGCAGGCACATTAGAACAGAGCAACCTACTAATTGTCTATGTGCGTGTCATTGCTCAAATGATGCCGAACATATTGCAGCTGCCCAAATCTACGCTGCGCACGCATGCGACACCACATCGGCACACAGACTCCGACGATGAAGATGAGTCGGATGAGTCTGGCGAGGAGGACGAGGGACAGCCCTCCACTCGCACGCTCGATTACGACATGGAGCAGTCCTGCCGCACGCCAGGCGAGCTGAGCAGCAAGGAGCGGAATAGCCTGTTAGAATCGATAGCCATATTAAACGAAACCCAGCGAGTGGACTTCATTGTACAGCAAATTGAGCCGCACATTGAGCAAAGCCAGGTGATTTATGCGCTATGCGAGATCTGTCACAATCTGATGATTTACAACAAGCATGCAGTCTATGAATACAGGTAAAATTCATCGTAGCGCGAGCTCTGTTATGGTTATCTCTGATTTGATTTTATAGATTGCTCTACACTTTGGCTTTCACGCCAAAATTCATACGTGCTGTTTGGTTTAAGCTGGCCGCTGAGTCAACTCAGCTCGGATTTTCATCCCCACTTTCACTTATATCCAAGGGTGTTGTCCGTAAGTGAAGACAACAAAAGGTCAGCGAAAGTACTTAAAATGTGTATCTAATCGAAATACTTTTGCAGCCAAGCAGCAGGGCGTAGACCGTACAATACCTCTATTAGCCACTTTTTGCATGCTCTTTGGACGCCTGTTGCCCACGTTGCACGATGTGGAATTCGTCGAAAAAAAGTTTTTGGAAGCGGCGCCTCTGCGCCATGCGAGACTTATGCCCTTCTCCATTGCGGAGATAGTGCAAATGTCGAAGACGCTTAAGGACATTAGCCTGGGCCTGGTGGAGCTCGCTTTTCGCAGTGTGCTAGGCCACACAGACGCCGATGGCAAAACGCTGCGTCATCAGAAGCAGATTTGGGCCAATTTATTAAATGTCGTCGTATTTGTGCTCAATCAAATACACTCGCGAGATTTGCGGCTTGGCTTTTGCCCGGAAGGGCATTGGACTGTTTCTCGGCTGGATTTGCCACTGGACAGGCCAACGGATCTGCCGTTGACACACAGCAGTCGCATGCGTGGTATACGCCCATTTCAACCCATACGCGACTTCACACGCGAAGACTTTGAGAACGGGCCGCCCATGTCGACCAAGCAAAAACGCTCTATTACCATATTGCGCGAAATACCCTTCGTCGTGCCTTTCAGTAAGCGCGTGAGCATACTGCAGGGTCTGGTTGCCGCTAACAAGATGCGCGTGCAGGGTCATCTGCAGGCTTTTCTGCAAGGGCCCTCTATTATGGTAACTGTGCGTCGTACGCATTTGTATGAAGATGCCTACGACAAACTGCGGCCAGAGAATGGTATGAAGCTTTAATATTGATTACCACTCTCTGTCTACTAATCGGCCATGTCTCTTTCAGAGCCGGACTTACGCTTGAAGTTTCGCATACAGTTTGTTTCGCAGTTGGGATTGGATGAGGCGGGCATTGATGGTGGTGGTGTGTTTCGAGAATTTCTGTCGGAGCTCATAAAAACATCGTTTGATCCCAATCGGGGATTTTTTATGTAAGATGATAACAATTGAACAACTTTTTTTGATTTAATACTAATGTGTATTCTCTTCTTAGGGTAACGACGGATAACAAACTGTATCCTAATCCGAATGTCGCAGATCTGTTTAGTGACTTTGAAAAGCACTATTATTTTATCGGTCGTATTTTGGGTAAAGCAATCTATGAAAATTTATTGGTGGAGCTTCCGCTGGCCGAATTTTTCCTCACCAAACTAGCTGGAAAATATTCAGACGTAGATATACATCAGTTGGCCTCACTAGATCCGGAACTCTACAAGAATCTACTTTACCTCAAGGACTATCCGGGTGATGTTAGTGAACTGAATTTAGATTTTACAGTCGCCAGCAGCTCGCTGGGGCAGACACAGGTGGTGGAGCTCAAACCTCAGGGTCAGAGCACACCGGTGACCAATTCAAATCGGATCGAGTACCTACAGTTAATAGCTAACTATAAGCTCAATGTGCAAATCAAGCGTCACTGCAAAGCCTTCCGCAAGGGATTGTCCAATGTCTTGCCCATTGAATGGCTTTACATGTTCAGCAACAAAGAGCTGCAAATACTCATATCGGGCGCCGAAATACCTATCGATCTAGAGGACTTGAAAAAACACTGCAAATATGGCGGGGAATATTCCCCAGAACATCCGTCAATTGTCGCCTTCTGGGAGGCTGTGGAGGGATTTGACGATTTGCAGCGACGGCAACTGCTCAAATTTGTCACCAGCTGCTCACGACCCCCATTGCTGGGCTTTAAGGTGAGCTATATACGCATCAAAGCCGATACGTTATCATAATTATTGCTATTATTGATGCTTTTCTTAGGACTTGGATCCACCGTTCTTTATACAGAACGCTGGGGATATGGAGCGTTTGCCCACAGCCAGCACCTGCACGAACCTCCTGAAGCTACCGCCCTTTAAGAATGCTGAACAGATGCGCGAGAAACTAATCTATGCCATACAGTCTGGTGTGGGCTTCGAACTTAGCTAAGGTGTGCATTGCTATCTACCCCATCAATTACCCACACATATCGAATGCAATAAACCCACACTGGGAACAACAGGACTCCCATCCAGCAATAAAACCGATGGCTGGCAAGCAAACTATTCCAGTTCATTTACCTATGTAATTATGATAAACGTAATATTTTGTGTAATGTAAAGTATGAAGCTTATGAGGTCTGTTTTCCAAGTTTTCGTTTTAGTTGATTTGTGTTTTTTTTTTCGTAGGACACAATATAAATGTAAAAAAGAAAAAAAAAAAAAAAAAAAAAAAAAACGAATAAACAATTTGTTTTGGAATCGTTATCGTTTAACAATGTTGAAATTGAGACCTAAAAGCTACATAGTTGAATTTTCGAGTTGTCTCACTCGACTGACCAGGCTCCATTCAAGTGGCTGGATATGTCTGTGCGGGGCGTATAGGCCGCTGTTTCCGTTCCATTGGGGCGGAAGCAAGCGGAAGTTCAAATTAAAATACTTTTGTTGCATCTATTGACTTACAATAAATCATAAGGTTAGTAAACTCGATACTGAACTTGTTTGAAGCAATTGAACTACTTGATAATAGCTTATTATTATTATACCTGGGTAAATGAAAACGGGAAATCAGGTTATTTTAATAAAATTCGACACACGTGTGTCCCTACCTACAACGAATTCTGTGAAGCTACGAGCGCTGAGAAAATTGTTGCGTTCAATCTGACTCAAGAAGAACTTCGTCTAATTGAAGCTTGGCTGCATAAGTGCAGATTAGTGGTGAGCGCTTAAGGGTCTGTGCAAGTGCCATTCGCTCTGGCCCTGGAAATCAGGGTATAATGGTTTTGAGAAAGGTATGTAACAGGCAGAAGGAATCATTGCAGACCCCATAAAGTATATATATTCTTTATCAGGGCGACGAGCTGAGTCGATATAGCTCTGTCCGTCTGTCCGTACTAGAGACTTGTGCTTTGGAATGTACACACATTTTATCACGCTCTGAACGTTTCATTTCACTGCAGTGCAGCCCACGCGCTGTCAGCTTAGAGGGTTCAGAGTATCTCCTAGGCGAGCAGCCTTGATTGGAGCCTTCTTACTTGTTTATAATTTCTTTATTGTAGTAACTAAATAATGAAAATTCGGACTATCGCATGGAAATCAATGTGATTCCCAGCCTCGCAACTGGTGCAGTTTGAATCGCCTCTTACCAACCTGTGCACCAAGTGTTGCACGTCCCGGCGACTCGACGACTCATCTTCATTGCTATGGAAGAGCATTAGATTGAAGCTCACGTTGTCCAGTAGACACATGGATCCATGACTTTGCTATAGTGCCGCAATTGGAGCCGCTCTAAGTGATAGTCCAGCGAGGCATACTAGAGGTTTTCCGATAAAGCCGATAAAGCAGTAACAGCTGGAACTTTCTCTTATCGCTGCTGATGAGCTGGCGCCAGTGCAGTAGCTGACCACGTGAGATGCCCGCCGGAGTCGTACCTGGAATCCGTTCTAAAATGTTTTGCAATATGCAAAATTTTCAATTGAGGCTCAAAAGTCAAAAGTCAAGCATTGAAATTTACGATCTTCCCTGCTTCCGACTGTGGAGTGTTTGCTTGTGCATGTGTGGGTGTGCGTGTGTGCTGACTTGTGCTTTCGTGTTAATGTGTCTGTGTGTGTGTGTGTGCGTGTGGGTAGGTAAGCGTGTTCAAGCTGCTATTTCCGTTCCATTGTGACACAAAGCACACGGAAGTGCATGTAGCGACACACATGTACACAGACATACAGACGCGTGAATGTGTTCGAGCTGGCAAAGGAGTGGGATGTGCTGAGGTTGACCAGATTTTTTACTCTTCTTTATTTAATATTGTTTAAGAACTTTTGATGCCTTTAGGGATAAATTAAAAATTTCTATAAAAATAAAACTGAATCTACTCGTCCTTCAAGAACCAAATCCTCATTCTGCCACTCCTCCTTCCGGTCGCAATGATCTTGTAGACTACTAGCACTACGCAATTTTGTATCTGTATTTAATGAGACTTAGTATTTCTCAGATTTTCGTAGTAAACCTAATAATTAAGGAATATTTAGAGAATGCCGTTATCATACGAATTTTATCGCCCTCTGTAAGTATCCTTAATTATTAAATTGAATATCTCAAAGAAAAGTTATAAAGCACTCATGACATGCGATATGGATATGTGAATAAATGTGGAACAGACTGACTGGAATATCAGCTTTTCCCTGGGTTCGGGGCATCACCAAGTAGGGCACCCCGGCTGCATATTTCTTATTTGGTTTCTTATGTTGCAGTTTTGGCTTTTTCTTTTTCGCTTTATCCTTCGATTTTTTTGTTGTTGTTGTTTTTTTTGTTTGTTTTTGTTTGTTTTTTTTTTTTTTTTTATATAAATTTGTTGACAGTTGCTCTGTCAGTCCATGTCTCACGTCCTGCGGCGACGCATTTTGTTTTGTTTTGATGCTTATTTGATTTTCCGGCTGCCCGCTGCATTTTTCTCGTTTCTGGGCTTCCTCTTTCGGGCTGCTTTTCAATTGCTGCCACTTGCACGAGCTCCGCTGCAACTTGTGGCAAATAGTTTTGTATTTCCTCGCACAGCCGGCAGCTTGTTTGTGTTACCAGAGAGTTCTTCACTGTGTGGCTCTCGTTTTTTGTGTTTTCTGATTTGTTTTTCTTTCAGTTTTGTTATTGTTGCTGTTGCTGTTGCATCAAATCATGTTTCTCGCACTTGCACTGCAGTTGCAAAGTGTGTTGAACTTTATGTGGCGCGAAGGGGCGAAGAGCGGGCACTCAGCTAAATATGCACAAATATTTATTTGCGCGGGCAGCGAGCAGAGCCTGTAGACAGCAAGCCAGGGGGAAGAGGGGGCCTGTGTGTGTAGAAAGTGGACTGGAGGGGCACGCTGGGGCAGCTAGTCGTGTATATTGTGGGGCATGTTCGGCAGTTGTCACAGCAAATCCCCCACCCCCGAACTCGTCGCCTTGCGCTATTTGCTTAGCAATTTTGGCCGTCTACGACTCAGCTTGAGCTCGTCTACTATTTGCCTGTTTGTTTGTTGACTTCTTTTTTATTGCGACTTACAAAGATACAGCACGCGGTTGCACTTATCCTCCGACTGCCTGTGGATTTGATGGTTTGGCTTTAATTTCGATGTGATTTTTTACTGTGGCAATTCTTTCAATTATTCGAAATAATTTAATTTGAAAGTGTTGTTTTTCTAGTGAATAATAATATTTATGAAAATTGAATTAAGTAAATTGAGTAATTAAGTAATACCAGGGACCGCAAATAAGAGTTATGAATTTAAAAAAATTGAGGCTTAAAAGAAGCCCCAAGAAGTGAGAGGAAAATGTACTGACAGACGGACGGACGGACAGACAGACAGACACACGGACAGGGCTAAATCAACTCAGCTCGTCACCCTGATCAAGAATATATATACTTTCAATAATAAATAAGTATCATAGAATAAGTATCATAGAAATGCAATAAAAATATTTAGAAAGCTTTCATAGAAAATGATCAAATATAGTCTAAGAAATTGAAATTGATTGGTCAAATGCATAATGGAATTATTGTTTATCATGCGTAATGCTGTACAAAGTCAAGAAAGGTAAATAAATCTGAGTGGCTGAAATTTGACTAAAGTGCAAAGTAATTTATTTGACTCAGCTGCCTTTGTTGGATATGGTTGAGTTTTCCCAAGGTGTTATCGAAACTGTTTGTGTACGCCAAAGTTTTAGCTGCACTACCAAAAAGATTCCGAAACTATCTTTAGCCTGTCAAACTTTTATACCTTTTGGAAGAAACAGTAAAAGGAACAGCCCAGGCAATACACACACAACAATCTACCGCAATGTTTTTCCAGAGCCAATTGCTAGTGCCCTTAGCCTAATAACTAACCAAGCACTTGGCGCTAACCTCTTGGCCCGTTCAGCCTCCACTCCGTGGCACGGCTTAGCCCCAAACGAAGCACAGATAAGCCATAAAGTTTTCGCAAAAATAACACGGGCGCGATTTATTTGCCATATTTCATGGCGAACCAAAATTTAAATGCGAAAACAAAAAGTGTTTAAGGCAACGTGGCGCACACGTACCGTGTATTGTATATATCGTTACCCGTGTAGTAGAGCACGGCCGGTCCAGCCATTGAAGCCCCACCTGCCTGGCCACGATCCCAACGGCTGGCAAAAGTTTAGCACACCGCTGTGCATTTTGCAGGGAAACTAATGAACGAATATCTAATACCCTCACAGATCCAGCGACTCGAATTTTATTCTATGTGACAAAAAAAACTGTTACGAGACTAAATTTTATCTTTATTTATCTTTATAGATATAATATATAGACAAGAAACAAAATTATTTTTATGTGTATATATATGTATATATAGTCGAGACTCGAAAATTCGTACCCCGTTAAAAATTAAAAAAAAAAATCATCCCCTTGAAAGAAATTCGTCCTCATTAATTGTCGATGATTTGAATTTCTGAGTAAATAGAAAAAAAAATAAAATAAACTGATTCAATTGCCATTTGCGAATTATCGTGATTCTAGTGTATAACAAAATTATATATATTTATTTATGTGTATTCAAAATATGTATAATTTTAATGTTTTGTGACAAGTTTTGAATTTCACAAAAATATCAAGATCATCCTATCTCTTTTTGTGGCTATATAGAGCTCAGAAGCTAGTTAAGTTTTGATTAAAAATTTAGTAAGAACTAATTTTTTTCATAATTCGCTTAGATAAATTAATCATGAAAAAGGGAATTGTTTATCTACCTTGGAAGAAAGAAGAAAGGCCAGTTGGCGAGAAAGAGAGAGGTAGAGGTAGAGGTAGAGAGATATAGCAGAGTACTCAGTTTACTCAGATTTTAATATTAGTTTAGCATTCGCTGTAATATTTATTAAGACAAATAGTAACTGTGAACACTCTGTGCTGATTGAGTTCTCTGTTTCTCTAGATGACTGACAAAGTTGATCAGCTCTTGCCGACGAGTGTAAGAATAAACGTGCCACAGTAGTTGGCACAACTGGCAGGAAGCTGGGCAGGCAGCTCGTTTACACATTTAAATTCAAATAACTTTTATTACCAAAACTAAAGCCGGCTCTTGGCTGTGCGTGTGTGAGCGGGTGTGCGTTCGTTCGTTTTCGTTCTGTGCATATGTGTGTGTGCACGCTCCTGAGTGCAATAAAAACTTTTGCATACAACAAAACTTTAGGGCCGCTTTGTTGTCTAAATTATGGCTGCACATATAATTGTAGTCCCTCGATCTAGCGGATGCTCGCCGAAGCCCACGTAGTGCAAGAGCATCTGGCACTGCGCATATCAGAAGTGGCTGGCGCCAAGGCTGGCTAGTGTCGAGTGGTCCATCTGATGGAGTAGCCGGTGTAAAAACGGCAGCAAGAGCAAAACACGCGCGAGCAGAGCATTAGCCACGCACAACATGTGGTATGCGTAACATTAAGTATACGCACCGTGACGCCACACGATTCGATGACCACCAGGCGTAACGGCGGATCTGTGCTGCGCTAAGTAATCCACAATCGACGCCGCAAATCGTGTATTGTAATCAGGCCTCCGTGCCAGCAGCAATGGCAGCACTCCGGGGCAATCGCTAGCGAGCCGTTGCGCGCTGGTGATGCTCAACAGTCGACGAACCACTGTCTGTATTTCGCCTAGCTTGAGTGCGCTATGATGTGGTATTGGGCTGTGCGGGATAGGACAGAAAGCATGATCATTTAATACCAGTGCTGCACCAGAGACTCTACCGAAGACGGACAGAGCCTGGAAACAAGGACAGAGAGGTAGCGCTTATCAAATATGAGGTATACGAGGGTTATTTCGAAGGTTTTCCGCCTACTCAGCGATGACCTTGCTTCTTATAATTCGAATTTCGTTTCGAAATCTCTTGTATATCCTAATGCTGGAAGTTAAATTAACGATAGGTTTCGCAGACGATTCGTAAAAATGTCAAAAAAACATCCACGTAAAACCTAATCAATTTCACAAAAACAAGACATAATATCAGCTAGTGAGGAGGAGAGATTAAAAAAAAAAAAAAACTTTGCTTCTTGCAAAAGCACTGAAGTTTAATGATTTTAAGGCCAGCAGTGGTTGTTTGGATCGTTTTAAAAACCGATACAACATTTGCATTTAAAAAATTGTGCGGCGAAAGTTCCGATATTAATCAAGAGGTGTGTTTGGAGGGAAAGAAATATGGTTTGATCTGATAAAAGTTTACGAAGCTAAGGAAATTTGTAATGCAGATGAAAATGTTTGCCAGATCGTACGAAACGAAAAATGTCATGGTGGCTAGCACAGTAAGGAACGAATAACATTATTATTTGCTGTAAATATGGATGGCACCGAAAAACTTAAGCCGCTGCTAATTGGAAAGTCTGCAAAACCAAGGTGCTTTAAAAACATTTGCACTATTCCAATAGATTACCGACACAATAAAATGGCTTGGATGACAATAGATATATTTAATAAATGGTAAGGGTATTTTTCGATATGCCACGCCCCTAAAGAGTCGTAAAAATTATTTTTGGGTCATCGATAGAAGAGGTTACTTGTAACTTAACTATTTATTTATTTATTAAATTTGAAGCTTCTGGCTATTATCTGGCGTATTTGTAATACTAGGGACTTGTGCTTTGGCTTATTAAACAATTAACTTCCCATAGTAAGCCAACACTGCAGCCAATGCGTGTTTATGCGTGCGTACATATGTCTGTGTGTGTTCGTGTATGTGTGCATATGCGAATAATTATTGAAAAATCAGTTGCTCGAAGGGTTCAGGGGATCTCGTAGTTGGGCAGTCTTGACTAGAGCTTTCTTACTTGTTTTTTTTTTATCTAGAATAATCGATAAATTGATTTCGTTTCTTCAGACTAATTTGGACACTATTAAACCTGGAGACTTAGATTTACTGTATATATACATTTGAAAAATACACACATTTTGTAACTTACAGATTTTGGTTACCACGCCCCTTCGCCCCCAATTTGTAAAAAAACATATTTCAAGAACTAGAGACTTGTGTTTTGGAATATACTCACATTCAATATTATGATCACGTTCTGAAAATTTTATGATGATAGCCCCACTATAAGAGAAAATTCTCATAAGGTGAGGTGATGGTGAGAGGATGAATATAAAGGTGGGGGTAAATTTTGACCAAAATCGAAATTTTATAAAATACATTTATTTCAAATTTTTCGACTTTAGCTTTAAAGATGTAGGAGATATAAATTTATTACGGGCTTTCGATAATGTTTTTAATCGATAATAAAATACCGGGGCTAGGTTTCGATTTTTAAAGCAAAGCTCGATAAGCGCGTGGTATACACGGACCTAGGAAAACAAATTTCAAGCTCTTATATCTTCTGAGATCGACGCGTTCAAATATACGGACAGATGGACGGACGGAAGGACAGACGGAGAGACGGACATAGCTAAATCGATTCAGCTATATATCGCCCTATATATACTTTATGGGGTCTGCCACGCCGCTTTCTGCCTGGTACATACATTTAACAAAAGCATTATACCCTGATTTCCCATTTTCAATGGGTTCAGGGTATAAAAAGTTTTGCCAGCCGAAACATGCCTAATAAATAAATAAAACTGCTATTTTAGACCAGCATTGTACATGTATTGGTATTCATAGTTTTCTATCGAAATGATGAAAATGTTTATCTGGCTGGCGTCATGAATAACGTGTTAGATACATACATATGTATCATATGTATCAAGCGCTGTTGACGTGCTAATTGCCGGCCGAATAACTCGGCGCTTGGTGGTGCAACCACCTCAAATAAGTGGTGCAGGCGACGTTGATGATGCGGCCTTGTCGTCCTAATTGGCAATATTAATTTACTGCACAGTTTTGTGGTTCGAACTGAAGCGGGCTCAAGCCTCAGCCGCCTGCCTGCGTTATAAATGTCGCACATGCCAAATCGGCCCACTAGATTTATATATATATAGCACGTATTCACACTATCACAAGTATGGTCGCATGTAATATGTACACAGATAGTATACCGATTTTAGCGTGAATGTGGATGCACATGTTTAACGGCCAATGTGATTTACAATTTGAATTTCGTCTACGTGTCGAAAATAAAATCATGCTAATTAAAATAACCGCGATAGAGGGTGATATTATTACATAGAGCCGATGTGACGTCAAACGGGTGTCGAGGGTCTCGAGGGCGAATCGAGTCGCGGAGGGAGTACCGGAAGTGCTGATAGCCAACATGCTGTATGCTCATCCCATAATAGACCTCCAGCAGTGACGTCATCAATAAGTGGATGCCCTTCACTGATTGTAGCTCCATCGAGTTGGGCAAATAATTTGTTGATGGAACTAATGTGGCTCGAAGCATAAATCCAATATTAATAATAAAAGATTTTAGTTTTCTTTAATGACTTCTTTTATTATACTCATTCACGAAAGTGAAATGAGTATATTGGTTATGTGAAATGTCCCTCTTGCAGTCCGTCCGTCTGTCTGTATAAACGCAGTTTATTTCGGCGCTATTGAAGCTAGAGACTTGCAATTTGGAACACATTCTCGTGTCTATCTCCGACTTATAAAGTGTTAAAATTTTCCTGATCCGCCCACTAAGGGCGTGACAAATCGGAAAATGTATTTTCCGATATACCAGAAATCATATTAGTTGATGAGCTAGAAATTAGGAATGTAGGCCCGCGTCGACCATCCAAGATATCAAGTTATGGCGGATATATCTACGGCCATTGGGTCGTGAAAAATCGGAAAAAACTGTATCTCCTAGAGTTTTAAAGCTAGAATATTAAAAATTTGCAAATGTTATGATTCTATAAAGATTCATGTTAAAATTGTATGGAAAAACAAGTAAGAAAGCTCTAGTCAAGACTGCCCGACTACGAGATCCCCTGAACCATACTAAGAATTGATATTTCAATAATTATTCGCACATGCACACACCCACGGACACACACAGACATACGCACGCACGCATAAACACGCATTGGCTGCAGTGGTGGCTTACTATTGGAACTTAATTGTTTAAAAACTTTTTTTTTGTGGTTTATGAATATAATATATGTAGATATTTGCCAAAGCACAAGTCGTTTGAAATACGCTTTTTACAAAGGTGAAGGTGAGAGGTGGTTATAAGGGTGGGGGACAATTTTAACAGAAATCGAAATTCTATAAGGTACAAATAAATCTGTATTTAAAATTTTGCGACAATAGTTTTAAAGATGTATTACTGGCTTTCGAAAACAAAATACCGGGGCAAGTTATCGATTTTTAAAACAAAAGTCAATATGCGCGTTGTATACACGGACCTAGGAAAACAAATTTAAAGTCTCTTATATCTTCCGAGATCGACGCGGACAGACAGACGGATGGACGGACAGACGGGCAGAGCTAAATCGACTGAGCTCGTCGCCCCGATCAAGAATATATATACTTTATGAGGTCTGCCACGCCTCCTTCTGTCACATACTTTTAACAAAACAATTATACCCTGATTTTCCATTTTCAATGGGTTCGGGGTATAAAAGTAAGAACGTTGCAGTCGGCCCATCAGCAATTTAATAGCTAAGTTTAGTTCTAATACTGTACGAAATGCAGTATTTCTATGGCAGGTCTTTGTATAAGAATATGTTGATTCCTGACACTTGGTTATGAATTTTTGCGATAGTCGCGATAGTCTTATATCTACCAATTCAGTATTGGCTCGACAATTTAGATCAATCATGGTATGATGCCATGGAAGATTAAAAATAAGCTTTAGGACTTTATTTTGCGTGATTTGCAACTGGTTTATGTGTCATTTGGCTATATCTGGCCAGACTGGTGCACCGTAGAGCGTTATTGCTTGGAATATTGTTTTCTATATTTAGTCTCGAGTTTCTATTTTAAACGGGTATAGCGTACGGACTATATGTTTGAGTTTTTTATTGTATTGGTTATATGGTCCTTAAAAGTAAGCCTTTTGACAAGTGTAATACGCAAGTACCTGAAATTCGGTTCCAACTTAATATATTCCGAGCCCAATCTGATGTCAGTTATCGGCATGTAGATGTTTTTTTATACCCTGAACCCATTTTCAATGGGAAATCAGGGTATAATGGTTTTGTTGAAATGTATGTAACAGGGAGAAAGAGGCGTGGCAGACCCCACAAAGTATATATATTCTTGATCAGGGCGACGAGCTGAGTTGATTTGGCCCTGTCCGTCTGTCTGTCCGTCTGTCCGTCTGTCCGTCCGTCCGTCTGTCCGTCTGTCCGTCTGTCCGTATGTATGAACGCGTCGATTTCAGAAGATATAAGAGCTAGAGACTTCAAATTTTTTTTTAAATGTCCGTAATTACAGCGCGCATATCAAGTTTATCATTAAAAATCGATAACTCATC